CATATGTGTGTGCCCCAAATCCTGATGGGATGGGGAAATGAGGAGAGGAGTGGTGTGACTACGCTCCACTTGGATGTGCTTTCTCCCTCTCCGGCTAGCATGCACACCAACACCCTCTGACGATAAAACAGGGGGAGCGTGAGGTATCAGTCCAGTGGTTTTCAGAATGCCCCTTAACAAAATCGTGGAGCAGCTGGTGGCATGCTGGTTAGGGCGCTGGGTCCCACACAGCTGACTCCAGGGTTAGAGTCCTGGGTCTGGCAGCTTGCGATAACACGCTGAGGAGAGCATGCGTGCCCCAGATTCCGAAAGGAGACCGGGGAAGGGGCTGCGGTGCGGCCATCTCCCCCGGGGCGAGGAGTCTTACTTTCCCACCTGGTTTCCCTCCAGCAAGCACAAGTGCCCTCATAAAAATCCTAAAACTAAAATCCATATATAACTCTTCCCCAAAACTCCACTCATGTATGTCAAGGACACTCAACGGGCAAGAGAGAAACGCAGAGCTGCTCTGGCTAAACGGGCAGGGCCTTGGGCGCTCCCTCACTCCCTGGGCAGCACATGAGCACCCACATCACACTGAGGGCCGCCCCCGAGCGCCCCCACGGCCAGCTGAGGGCCGCCCCCCGAGTGTCCCCACGTCCCGCTGAGGGCCACCGCCCGAGCGCCCTCAAGTCCTGCTGAGGGCCACCGCCCGAGCGCCCCCACGGCCTGCTGAGGGCCACCGCCTGTAGGCACTCCCAGGTGTCCTCTCGCCTTCTCAGGAAAGGTGAGCAGGGGAGGGGGCACGTGTGGCCAGAACGTGCCCAGTGACAGAGCTGCCTGCCTCGAGAGGGCTGTGCGCTCCCCCGGGGAGCGCGTGCAGCCCTGAAGTAGAGGGCATGGCTGCTGTGCACATGCTCCCTGGGTAGTGACAGCACGGGGGTGGCAGGAGGCCCGGGGCGAGAGAGCATACAGATTTCCTTCACCACCAATCCAGTTACATCTTCCTCACTCTTCAGATTTCAACTTTTTTTGGAGAGGTTTTCGCTATAGGGCGCGTGTGCTCGCCAGACAGACAGAGACAGACAGAGAGACAGAAAGCGAGAAATCACCCCCCCAGGGGGGATGGCCACGCCGCAATCCCTTCTCCTCCATTCTCCTCTCGGGATCTTGGGCACGCACGCACACGCGCCTGGCCTGAGTTTTAAGCCACTGGGTCCAGGACGCGAACCGTGGTCGACTACGTGGGAGTCCAGCGACATAGCCATTACGCTAACTGCTGGTTCTCCAACTTTATTTTTTTAAGAGAGGGATTTTTGCTATAGGACACGTGTGCTCGCCAGAGAGACAAAGCGAGAAATCACCCCTCAGGGGAGATGGCCACGCCGGAGTCCCTTCTCCTCCTTTCTCCTCTCGGGATCTTGGGCATGCACACATGCCTGGCATGAGTTTTACGCCTCCAGGTCTGGGACTCGAACTGTGGTCAACTACGTGGGAGTCCAGTGATGTAACCATTACGCCATCTGCTGGCCCCCAGATCTCAACTTTAACCCTGTCTCATCCCTGCAGTCTTTCTCACAGCCCAGCCCAGTTTCTCTCCCTCCTCAGATCTTCCAGAACACACATTCTCAGTCCTTATCTGTCACCTACGTAACACCACCCCACATCCCCCACGCCTCTGCTCCTCGAACTCCCCAAAGGACGAGGCGGCCATCTACACGTAAGCAGGTGGGGGCTTGCTCCCAGGGCACTGGCTGCGGCTGGCCTGACTGCAGGACGTTCTGGGCCAAGGCTCATATCTTTGTAAGTGCCCTGCGCGAGGTGTGCCCACCCGCCCAGCTGCACGCGGCTTCCGGAATACCTTCTCTTGCTATTCATGCTGCCCACTCTGGCCCACGTGTCCGTCTCTGGGTTGTAGGCCTCCACGGTGCTCAGCCGCAGCTGGCCGTCGTACCCCCCGATGGCGTAGAGGAGCCCGTTCACCACGGCCACGCCCACGCGGCTGCGCGCCGTCGTCATGGGATGGCACTTCTCCCAGTGGTTGGCGATGGGGTCGAACACTTCCACCACATTCAGGGAGTCACCTGCATAGAAATTTGCTACTCAAATTAAAACAAATGAGACCACTTGTTTAGATCGCAGCGGTCGGGCACTGGTTATATGGAACATTTGATTTGATTCTACCAGCTCTTCCCAAACTCACTCAAGGCACCAGGCCCCCTACGGAATTTCAGCCATGGTAACCTCCAACAGAATCCTCTAAGGAAAATCAGAACCGGCAGGAGACATATATTTTTTAGAGGGTAGTCGTTGGGCCAGCTGGCAGCCCAGTGGTTAAGGCAGCTAGATCCTCTATAGTCAACTGTGTGGTTCAAGTCCCAGACCTGGCAGCTTGCAAAACATGAACATGCCAGGCATGCGTGCATGCATGCCCAAAACTCTGAGAGGCAAAATGGAGGAGAAGGGATTGTGGCACGCCCATCTCCTATAGGGGACATTTTCTCACTCTCTCTCTCTGGCGAGCACATATACCCTCTAGCAAATTAAAAGAAATAGAGAGAGAGTTGTTTTTAGTTACAATCGAGTACTTAACCTGCTCAGAGTCAAAGACTATGGCAAAGGGAGGCCCTCTTTCCTCAGTGCAAAAGGCATGCCCTGGGGGAAAGGCTCGGGTCCTGGTCCGACTTGTGCTCACTAGTGGGGGACCCTTGGCAAGCTGCTCTGAGTCCCCTCCTCTAACTCACCACGGAGATCATGTTTACAGCAGCTGCCATGGGCACCAAGTGACAGAACAGGGAAAGCAGCCAGCCCAGGTCCAGAGGGACCATTAGTGCTCAATCTATAGCAGTCACTATATAAAAGTAAGTAATTAATCAATTGTGGTCACGGCAGGAAGGAATGATCTAGATTTCAACCCTACCTTTTCCACCAAGTTTTTGTGATGGTCCAATAACCCCTCCCTGTAGGATGCTGCTTTGGGGACTTAGCACCTGCCGCATCCCAGGCCTTACAGAGCCGAGGACTCACCTTTTCTGGGTCAGGTGGTTAATAAGCAGCAGACTAGTACCCACCTCTCGTTACCCTTCGCGCAAAAGCAAAACTGCCCAGGACTGCACACCCACTCTCCCAGGACAGAAGGGGACCCATGCCCTCTCCTGAGAACCTGGCCATATGCGACAAGAGATGCTG